TTAGATTTGAAGTGCCTATTTAAAAATCAAGTAGAAATGCTGATTAAGCAGTTGAATGTGAGCTGGAGTTCAGGAGAATAACCAGGCTGGAGATACGTTTGGAGTCATCAGCATATAAATGATATTTAAAGTCAGATTGGTTGAAATTACCAAGGGAATGAGTGTATCTAGAGAAGAAATTCCAAAAATTTTCGGCCAGACCTCTATGAGCACTGAGGGCCCCAAGACTCTTAGTAGGACTAAAAATATTGTTAGAGTTGAAAGGGTGATCTGGTTGGATGGTAGTGCTCTTCAAAGTCAGGTTTTGGAAATATTTCAAAGGTATAACTATCGAGAATATATGTAGTATGATGGAAGGCAAAATCATGGGAGAAAAGAGCTCAAGGAACGGAGAAGTCAATGAATCAGACCGCTTATTGGACACCAAAATCACAGTTCTTACAAGACTAGCACTAGAGAAAGTCACAAGGACCCAGGGGCTAAATTCTTTAAGATATGAGAGAATGGATACAAATCAATCGACTACTATAAAAAGAAGAGATAATGGAAGAGATCCTTTGATGACATGGGATTCAAAGCTGGGTGTGTTAGAGAAGAGAAAGGGAGAACGGTCTGGAAACAGTATGAGGAATAAGGAGGTCACTTCCCCATCTCCAATCCCAGATGGGTGAGGCATGGGAGAGGAGACCACCACCATTTGAGAGAGCAGCAGAGGAAGAAATGTCCTCAGGGCTGGAGACAGAGCACAGACTTCAGTAAGACCAAGAAGGGAACACTTAGCAGAGGGTAAAGATTTAGGGTTTTTGCTGGTTACTGGCTATGAGTTCAGGGAGAACAGTAAACATGTTTCAAGAGCAAAAAAGGTAAGGGATAAGGTCACAAAAAAAAGGCATACAGAGTTAGAGAGATTTCCTTGGACAACGATTTTGGAGAGAGATTTTAATATCTGAGAAGCAGCCATACAGGAAAAGGAAATTTTCTAACCTTTCATTCCTTTCATTGAAGGCAGTTCCACTCTTTCCTCAAAGATTACAGATGATGAAAATATAACCCAGAGAATTGAACAGATTCACACCAAGCCACACAACTGAGTTGGATCTCATGTAGAGCAAGGTGGGCTTTCTGGAAATATTTCCCTTCTTCCCAGAACTTTATATTGAAAAATCCTATTAAAGAATTCCTACCATGGGCCTATTCCCTTAGAATCATAAAAATGGAGAAAAAGCTTTGAAATTACTGGTGAAAGGGGTGCCTGAGGAATATCTGTTTCAGTGTGACCTACCAAATTTATTGAAATAGCAGAGTAACCAGGCAGATTCAAGGTCTAGAACAGGATGCCAACAACGACACTGACAAAAATAGCTGAATGCAGGAAAGGCCACAGTGATTGTGTTTATACAATGACAATAAACCTCACTTCCTGAGTTCTGTGCCGTGATAGTTTAAGTTAGTGTGGTACAGAGGTATGTCTTGTGCTTCTAGTAATACATCCTTTAGGATAGGTCACTGAACACCATGTTTTCAAGTCTATTATGTTTTACTATTTACATCTAGGGAATGTAAATAGTAAATCTATTTACATCTAGCTACATGTAGCTAATAGTCAAAGCTCAATTTTATTAAGCACCAGGATGTAATGTTATATACTTTACAAGCATAATCTAAAAATTTTGAGGTTGGTACTGTGATTATTCCCCCATTTAACCAATGAGGAAACTGAGTCATGGAGTGATTAAGTAACTTAGATGAGGTTTCCCAGCTAGAAACTGGCAGAGCCAGAATTCTAACCTCATTAGAGTGACTAGAATAACTTCAGTGCTTGCACTACTGTGCTATATAGGAGTCCCCTTTATCTGCACTTTCACTTTCTGTGGTTTCAGTTATCTGCAGTCAACCAGGATCCGGAAGCAGATGATCCTCCTTCTGACATACGGTCAGAAGGTCAATAGAAGCCTAACGCTATATCATGATGCCTACGTCATTCTTCTCACTTCCTTGCATCAGTAGGCATTTTATCACCTCACATCATCACAGGAGAAAGGTGAATACAGTACAATAAGATATTTTGAGAGAGAGAGAGAGCGACCACATTCACATAATTTGTATTACAGTATATTGTTACAATTGTTCTGTTATTATTAGTTGTTAATCTCTTATTGTGCCTAATGTATAAATTAAACTTTACCAGAGGTATGTATGTATAGGAAAACACATACTATATATAGGGTTCGGCACTGTCTGCAGTTTCAGGCATCCAGTAGGGGTTTTGGAACATCTTAACTTGCAGATAAAGGGGGACTACTGTACCACTTTAAAAGTCAAGGCTTCAAGTAGTACAAAGTATATACATTTATATGTAATATAACATAATTATTATATATCATATATAATAATATATATAGGTCAAATGAATAGAAATTATGACTTTGTCTTAACTCCCATGTTCTAATTTCCTTTCCTTTTTCCTTTAATAAGAATAATTCATTTATTCTAAAAAAGAATTGGGCAATTTTAATTTAAGGGCCCAGTAAATTACCGTACACCCCGGAGAAAACCACAAGATCTGCATTCCCTCACAATTTAAGCTACATTCTCTTATTAAATAGACCTCAGTGACTGTTTCAGACATTCATTGAAAATGTAGCTTACCAAACAGTGTTAATAATGGTGTGGAGAAAAAGCTTTGTTGGATAAATTTGTAGATTAAAGCCATAAAATGAACTAAAAAATTAACATGAATTCTAAAAAGTATTTGTAAAGTATTCATCATTTTCACCCGAGACACAAAGCCAGGACCACACCTAGGTTATTCAAAAAGAAAATCAACATCTTTCATATTTCTCTAATAGCCTACATAAAGTAAGTTGTTGGCCACAAGACTTCAGATATTTCTGCTCTCATTTAAAAAAAAAATGTTGCTATTATAAAAGAGTGGTTTGGCTGAAAACAAAGCAAAATAAAACAATACTTCATATACAACAAAGCAATGATGAAATTCCCATTCTTATTTAATTAAAAGTACATTTCATTTTAAGGAAAAAAGAACAGCTACCCTATAGCATTTGGAAATAATATTTTTATTGAAATTTTTTACACTTTCAGCATGTTCAACCTTCCAACTCCCCATGAAGTTATATGAGTATTGAGAGACTTATATCATAATACTAATAATCTGTCCAACAATTTGGTTTTAAAGCATATAAGCTAAATGTATAACCTTTTACTTATTTTTATGGTATCTCTGCAGTCTCAACAATCAGTGTAAACCATAATTGTAAAAAAAAAAAGGGGGGGTCCAGTGCCATTCTTTTGCATGTTTATATTCGTTGTTGTTTTTGTATTTTACTTACTTCCCAAATTCAGTTTTCTTTTAGCAGTTATCAAATTTTAGCCTACTATGCACCCAAAGACACACAGATACATAGAAATATATTCCATTTGGGGGACTTCTTTTAATTTGTCTTCATTCATTCATTCATTCATTCATTCAACAAATGTTTATTAATGCCTAATGTGTGCCTGTCACTGTGATAAGTACAAGGAGACTTCAGCTTCTATGAAGCTATGGCTCTATTAGTAAATATTTCAGATATTTCAGGAGAACATTTTTACATGGACAGAACATTTAGCAAACCTCAGAACACATCCTGTAGGTGACTGCCCCATTCTGCTGGCCTTCTACTCACAATTTCACAATAATCTGCAGCTAGTAACTAAGATTCTCTCAATGAATGTTTTAGAAAGATTTTCTGTCTTTTCTTTAGCATTAAACAAACAGTGGTCAAGCCCCTGTACGGTAAGCTCCATGTATATGGAAAAAGACTTAGATTTCTACATTCGGAGTAAAGCCATGAAAATTACTGAGCCCTTCAATGAGCTTAGAGGCAGCTCTGTGAGGGTGCCTCTAAATAAATGTGATTTATCTGAGTTCAATGGTATTTGAAAAGGGAGGCTTTTATCAATGCTTAGTACGATTCTGAATAAACTCTAAATGTCACAGGACTTTCATTTATGAGGTAGTTAAAGGCTGCAAACCTCAGCTTTCAGGATTATCAAATTTCAAGATTATTATCTATTAAAACAATTTCACCCATTAGATCCTACCCTTTACGAAGAATTTTTGACAGCATTTACTTCTTCATATACATATTCAATTCTAGACTGAATTGAGACCCACCCATTATTTATACTACTTCGGGCCTAAACTATCTAATCAAGCCTGAAATTTAAGCTATGGATCAATTCAACATTCAAAAATTTTAAACATTTACATGTGTTCGAGATTCTGACATTATATTCACAATATTAAAAGTTTTGGTGAATATTGGTTGGATTAATGAAAATGTGTTACTTGAGCCTCCATCTGATGCTTGAATTCCTTTTAAAATAATACACACAGTGAAATGCTGGTTAAATTGTAGTTGGATAAAGGAAATTTTATGCAAGTGCCTTAAGAACTCAAGGAGGAGTTTCTTCTGCAAATTTTCAAAAAATTTTTCCAAAATCAGTCAAAGTCCCACTCTACAAGAAGAGTTTTCTCTTAATGACAGCCTGAAGCTCAAGAACATGAGTAACGAGTTAAAAAGAGGAAAACTACAAAATAGTTTCTTTGAATCAATAGCCCCCTAGGTCTTCAAGTAACTCACCAAGTTCCAAAGAATTTTTCAATCACACTTACAGGACTTTAAAGAATTATCTATATTTTCTTTTGAAGAATTATGTATTTTTTAAACAATAACTGAACGATAGAGAGACTTTTAAAATTATAAGAATTTATCCTTATAATTTCTTAAAACCTTTAATATTCACACACATTAAAAACATCCAATCTCGTAAGTTCTAATAAAAGAGCTGAAAATGAGTTATTAGTAGTTGTTTCTGAAATCTATCTTTTGACATGGTATTGAAAGGAAATACTAGCTGTTTGACACTACATTTTAAGAATGCAAAAATAATAAAAATCACTGTGTTGCTATTAACACTAATGCAATGAGACTCACCATAATCTTTCAGAAGCCCCATGGACGAGGAGGTCATGGGTTGTAAGGGCAAGCCAAGGTTGATGATGGGGGTGGCAAATGGTGAGATCAACGATCTGTTTCCAAAACATAAAGTTAGAGCTTTGAGTGATTTATAGTCCCTATTTTGTAATACAGACTTTCTAAACCAATGTTATGGGATTAGATGCTAATCACAGAGAGGAAACCACTTGTCTCCTATCAATAGAGACTAAACATGTTATACTCTCAGTGCTCTGCAGAGTAAGAGGCATGCAGTAGGCCCTCTATAAACATTATTGAAAATATATAAATATCTATATATATTATATAATAAATGTATAATATTTATTGAATGAAGACAAAATAATACCAAATTTTGCTGGCTCTGAGCATAGATAACAAACAGAAACATTTGCTTTCTAAATGAAAACAAAAATCAGGAAAATGAACAAGCATCATATATATTTCTTGTCTGTTTTGCAAGATTTTAAGTAACATGTTTTCCTATCGTGACTTGGTGAGCTTCAACCAAGTCAGCTGAATCAAAAACTATGCACCAAGCAGAAATTTTAGAAAATGTACATAAGCAAAAGGAAGAAAATAAAAATGACCCCTAATTCACCACCCTAATATTTTAGTCATAATTATAAACCCTTAAAAGCTTCCTAGGGGCCAGGAACTATTCTAAGCCCCATCTGTGTCTTACTACATTTAATCCTCACAACAATACTCTGGGTTTTTACTATCATTACACCCATTTTATAAATGAAGACACTAAGACACCTAGGGGTTAAGTAGTATATAGTTCAAATTATCCCAGCTAGAAATGGGTGGAGCCAGGATTTGAATCCAAGCAGTGGGACCTCAAGAACTAAACTCCTTATTACTATTTTATACTAACTCCATTTGTCATAATTAACATGTGTAATATATTTCATACCTTCTCTATGTTTACGTGCACATAAAATGTACATGAACTTTTTAGCCTATTTTTTGCTCTTAATATCGTGAATATCTTTATTTGTAAATGTACAAAGATGTACATTGTCATTTTGACCCATTACCGAGCATTCCACTCTATGGATTTAACATACTGATGGTTTATTTACCAATCTTCTTTTCCTGGATATCTGGGTTGCTTCTACTTTTTTGGTGTTTATAAACAAGGATGAAAATCTATGAATATTCATGTTGTGAACCTGTCCAATTCTTTCTTATTATAAATGCCTAGAAATGCAATTGCCATTTAAAACGTTATATAAATGTATACAAATTTTTAGTATTTTAAAACATTTTGCTCATCAGAAACCTAGGGTCTATGAGGGAAGAGTCTGTGGCTGTTCTGTTCGGAGTTCTACATTTGGCATAGAGTAGACACTCTATAAGTAGTAAATAATGACTGACTTATAGGATCTATTAGTCTAGCTGTTACTCATGTGGTCACCACACCCATGCAGTTCTCCAAAGAACTGAGGTATGGCTAGTATGACAAAATCTTATTGTCAAGGGAAAATATAAAAGGCTTGAGTATACAATCAGCTTTGCAAAACTCCATTTCAAATTCTTGAATTTATTTGTATGTCAATGGGGACATGATACACTGATCAATCAGTTTTCTTTGCTCTTTTCCAATATGCAATGGTTAAATATTTAAGTCTCCAAATTAGGACAATTAATTGCATTCCTCAATGATTCCTATTAATGAAAGATTTTAACAGAAGTAGACCACAATTCATCCACTTAAGCAAAATATTTTACAAACATTCAGGTGAAATGGCAGGGTAATTTTAACATAAATGTGAAATGCGATGAGATATTCTATCATTATTTTAAAATCTCCTCATTTTATTTTTATATGTTATGTCAATCACCACGCATTACATCATTAGTTTTTTATGGACTGTTCCATGATTCATTATTTGCGTATAACATCCAGTGCTCCATGCAGAACGTGCCCTCTTTAATACCCATCACCATGCTAACCAATTCTCCCATCCCCCTCCCCTCTAGAACCCTCAGTTTGTTTTTCAGAGTCCATCGTCTCTCATGGTTCATCTCGTCCTCCAATTCTCACACTTCATTCTTCCCCTCCTGCTATCTTCTTCATTTTTTTTAACATATAATGTATTATTTGTTTCAGAGGTACAGGTCTGTGATTCAACAGTCTTGCACAATTCACAGCACTCACCATTGCACATACCCTCCCCAATGTGTATCACCCAGCCACCCCATCCCTCCCACCCCCCACCACTCCAGCAACCCTCAGTTTGATTCCTAAGATTAAGAATTCCTCATATCAGTGAGGTCATATGATACATGTCTTTCTCTGATTGACTTATTTCGCTCAGCATAACACTCTCCAGTTCCATCCACGTCACTGCAAATGGCAAGATTGCATTCCTTTTGGTGGATGCATATATATATACACACCACATCTTTATCCATTCATCTGTCAATGGACATCTTGGCTCTTTCCACAGTTTGGCTATTGGGGACAGTGCTGCTATAAACACTGGGGTGCATGTACCCCTTTGGATCCCTACATTTGTATCTTTGGGGTAAATACACAGTAGTGCAATTGCTGGATCATACGGTAGCTCTATTTTCAACTTTTTGAGGAAACTCCATACTGTTTTCCACAGTCGTTGCACCAGCTTGCATTCCCACCAAGAGTGTAGGAGGGTTCCCCCTTCTCCACATCTCCACCAACATCTCTCATTTCCTGACTTGTTAATTTTAGCCATTCTGACTGGTGTGAGGTGATGTCTCATTGGGATTTTGATTTGGATTTCCCTGATGCCGAGCGATGCTGAGCACGTTCTCATGTGTCTGTTGGCCGTTTGGATGTCTCCTTTGGAAAAATGTCTGTTCATGTCTTCTACCCATTTCTTCATTGGATCATTTGTTCTTTGGATGCTGAGTTTAAGAAGTTCTTTATAGATTTTGGATACTAGCCCTTTATCAGTTATATCATTTGCAAATATCTTCTCCCATTCTGTCAGTTGTCTTTTGGTTTTGTTGACTGTTTCCTTTTCTGTACAAAATCTTTTTATCTTGATGAAGTCCCAATAGTTCATTTTTGCCCTTGATTCCCTTGACTTTGGCGATGTTTCTAGGAAGAAGTTGCTGTGATGAGGTTGAAGAGGTTGCTATCTGTGTTCTCCTTTAGGATTTTGATGGACTCCTCTCTCACATTTAGGTCTTTCAACCACTTTGAGGCTATTTTTGTGTGGTGTAAGGAAATGGTCCAGTTTCATTCTTCTGCATGTGGCTGTCCGATCTTCCCAACACCATCGTTGAAGAGTCGGTCTTTTTTCCATTGGATATTCTTTCCTGCTTTGTCAAAGATTAGTTGACCATAGAATTGAGGGTCCATTTCAGGGCTCTCTACTATGTTCCATTGATCTATGTGTCTGTTATTATGCCATTACCATACTGTCTTGATGATAACAGCTTTGGAATAGAGCTGGAAGTCTGGAATTGTGATGCCGCCAGGTTTGCTTTTCTTTTACAACATTCCTCTGGCTATTCGGGGACTTTTCTGGTTCCATACAAATTTTAGGATTACTTCTTCCATTTCCTTGAAAAAAGTGGATGGTATTTTGATGGGGATTGCATTGAATGTGTAGATTGCTCTAGGTACCACTGACATCTTAACAATATTTGTTCTTCCAATCCATGAGCATGGAATGTTTTTCCATTTCTTTGTGTCTTCCTCAATTTCTTTCAGGAGTATTTTATAGTTTTCTGAGTACGGATTCTTTGCCTCTTTGGTTAGACTTATTCCTAGGTATCTTATGGTTTTGGGTGCAATTGTAAATAGGACTGACTCCTTAATTTCTCTTCTGTACTGTTGTTGGTGTATAGGAATGCCACTGATTTCTGTGCATTCATTTTATATCCTGCCACTTTACTTAATTCCTGTATGATTTCTAGCAGTTTTGGGGTGCGGTCTTTTGGGTTTACCACATAAAGTATCATATCATCTGCAAAGAGTGAGAGTTTGACTTCTTCCTTGCCGATTTGGATACCTTTTCTTTCTTTTTCTTGTCTGATTGCTGTGGCTAGGACTTCTAACACTATGTTGAATAGCAGTGGTGATAGTGGACATCCCTGCCCTGTTCCTGACCTTAGGGAGAAAGCTCTCAGTTTTTCCCCATTGAGAATGATATTCACTGTGGGTTTTTCATAGATGGCTTTTATGATATTGAGGTATGTACCTCTATGCCTATACTCTGAAAAGTTTTGATTAAGACAGGATGCTGTACTTTGTCAAAGCTTTTTCTGCATCTACTGAAAGGATATTATGGTTCTTGTTCTTTCTTTTATTAAGGTATTGTATCACATTGATTGATTTGTGGATGTTGAACCAACCTTGCAGCCCAGGGATAAATCCCACTTGGTCGTGGTGAATAATCCTTTTAATGTATGGTTGGATCCTATTGGCTAGTATTTTGGTGAGAATTTTTGATTCCATGTTCATCAAGGATACTGGTCTGTAATTCTCCTTTTTGAGGGGGTCTTTGTCTGGTTTGGGGATCCAGGTAATGCTGACCTCATAAAATGAGTTTGGAAGTTTTCCCTCCATTTCTATTTCTTGGAACAGTTTCAGAAGAATAGATATTAATTCTTCTTTAAATGTTTAGTAGAATTCCCCTGGGAAGCCATCTGGCCCTGAGCTTTCGTTTGTTGGGAGATTTTTGATGACTGCTTCAATTTCCTTAGTGGTTATAGGTCTGTTCAGGTTTTCTATTTCTTCCTGGTTCAGTTTTGGTAGTTCTTACATCTCTAGGAATGCATTCATTTCTTCCAGGTTATCTAATTTGCTGGCATAGAGTTGCTCATAATATGTTCTTAGAATTGTTTGTATTTCTTTGATGTTGGTTGTGATCTTTCCTCTTTCATTCATGATTTTGTTGATTTGGGTCATTTCTCTTTTCTTTTTGATAAGTCTGGCCAGGGGTTTATCAGTCTTGTTAATTGTTTCAAAGAACCAGCTGCTAGTGTTGTTGATCTGTTCTACTGTTCTTCTGGTTTCTATTTCATTGATTTCTGCTCTGATCTTTATTATTTCTCTTTTCCTGCTAGGTTCAGG